TTTCACGTTTTGATGATTTTATTGAAATTTTTGATGATTCCCCATACATTTCCTTATAACAGGACACCACAGAAACCAAGCTTGGGCTACCTGTGGATGGTGTGCACATAAGTGCATTTTAATTGGCTTACAGTGAAAGCCCTTTAAGAGCTTTCAAGAAGATAAAGACTGAATAAGCATTTTCAGAAATTTCTAGAACTTCATAGAAACACGATAACTTAGCTCTCTTTGAGAAGATTATTGGATGATCATTAGAGTCTGTACGATAAGTATTTAATATAATGCAGGTGGTTCTTTTAAATTAAAGTAGTTGTTTAGCTACGATTATCACAAGAGGTGGTTTTATTTCACGCAAGTGGTTTTATATATACATGTACAGACCACTTTAAAAAAGGGTGTCCAGTGAAAAACCCTTGCTATTCAGACACCATGATCCCCCCTTACAATCCCTCTTATTTCCGTTATTCATGTTTCCAAACATTTTTTCGGATATTAATCTCTATAACTCTTACCAGCTCCTGCAAAGTAGTGACTTCATGCGGTAAAAGACTGGCCGCTGTTTCACACTGTCTGTCTGTCAAAACTCCTATGAAATTGAAGAACGACGTTAGAACGAACAGTACCAACAGTTCCTATTTTATGTGTGGCATGCTTTCACATTTAATCACAAGAAAGGGTTATCCACAAAGCACAGAGCAATGATAGATAGCCCTTTGTTCTACACAACTACCTCCCTACCTATACAAGCGCACACAAACACAGACTTCACGTCAAATATATCATTCGCATATMTTTATCTTAAAGTTTATCCACAAGATTCACGGTCGACAATAATAGCCCTTTCTTTCTTCTACCTCACCACCCTCCCTACCACCATACAAGTGCACACAAATACTTCAAGTACGACCTTTACATATCATACGAATAATGTTCAAAGTTTAACCCAAAGAGACCCGACAATGATAGCCCTATCTTCAACCTCACCATCCTCCCTATCACCATACAAGCACACACAAACGCACACACCTCTTACATATCATACGAATACTATTCAAAGTTTTATCCACAAAGCATACGACAATCATAGCTCTTTCTTCCAACTCACCATCTCTATCATCAGCAGCAGTAAGGGGGACTCGCGGTCAATGTCAAAGATTTACGGGTTTTACAGGCGGTTTAAGGAAGGCGCCGGCAGCGGGAATAACCCGCGCGACAAGTCCTTACTGCTGCTGTGTTGGGAATCAAAGATATCGCAAACGGAGGTTAAGATATCCTTTACATATAGATGGACACCATCACAAGCATTCGAAATAAAACTGTGCGCCGACTGCGAACTCAGGTTTTGGATCGCCTGGATGCTGACTTTGCCTTCACAAC